GCAAGAGATTGTGTGCAATTTAGAGATCAGAGCATTCAGTTGGGAAGGGGCAGAGTTTGGATCCTACACAAGCTTCCAGGGACAGACATTTGTTTGGTATTAGAGTATCAAAAAAAAAGTCTCAGTGACAGTGCCAAAGCCAAGCACCTCAGGCATTTGGTTGTTAGAATTCTACTGAGTATTGTGTTAGGAGATACATTTATGATAGCAGAACTTCCTATTTTGGAATGTTCATTTTAATTATTTTAGCATAAATGTATCTTTTTCTAAACATAATGAAAATTGTTTATATGTGTGTAGAGTAGTCAGTATTTCTGTGCTTTGAGAACATTATCAGAGAGATAGATTTCCGTTATTACAGAATAGCTACTCAATGTCATAAAGTAGGGAAAATATTCCAGTTTTCGGATTTGAACTTGGTATATCACATCTGGTTTTTGAAACACAGAAGTAAGAGCAATTAGAGCCATCTATGTTTCAGCAGTACTAAATCCAAGTTTGGTCTTCAAATCTGATTCTTGGTAGTTTGATGTGGGCACTGGGTGTTCCCTTGACATAAATCTTCATTGAGAAAATACGTCACTTATTGTGGGCTTATATGTTCTGTTCAGAATTCCAATTTCCTCTTATATCAGTTGTCAGCAATTAATGTCAGACAATTATCTTCTCATTTAAATCAATGCTTAAGACTGTTTCTTCCTTCATTTTTTGAACATGGACTGCCTCTCCAAAATTACTGTGGGTTTTAGCTGATAAGCAACAGCTTTCTAAGTGACAAACGCAACAGGAGGTATTTTATATTAAAAAAGTCATTATTTATGTAGAGCTAGGTGTTGCAAATCTTGCATAAAAATTGTCATGGATTTAGTTAGAAGCTGCACAGTAGACACTGTTGGGGTATAAATGCAGACTTTTGCAGTAAAAAAAAAAAACCACAAGCATCTGAACAAGTGCAATTAAAGCTGCATGGTTGTGAGAAACTTTGGAAAAACTTGTATCGTCCATGAAGAAACAACAACATTGGTCAAGACAGGGAATGATACTTAGGGACAATAATAACAGTTCATGCATTCATTTTTAACCTGCATGTCATAGCCAGTATACTGCTGAAGAATTTTGAAGGGATTTGAAAGTCACTTCCTTCAGAGCCAATAAATTTAGATTCTTAAATTAACATCAGGTTCATCATGAAATCAACTTCTTGTTACTATGTTTCCTGTCTCTGTCATATGTTAAAGAGTTCTCGCTCTTGGGGATAGAATACCAGGGATGTAAATCAAGTTCAACTGTTTTTCTGGTGTCTGTGCATTTGTACTAGATTGGTCACACTTCAGTGGTTATTGCAGCTGGCATGGTTAAGAGGTCTTTTATCACCAAAACGTTTACCGCATCTTTTGTCCACCTGTTTGTCTTTTGGCAAATGCATTATGCAAAGTGCCATTTTACTTCATTGTATAAACTTGGGGCAAAAAGGTAGAATTCCAATCTGTAAAGCTGATCACAGGAGACATGGAAAGAAAAAGAAATTGGTCATCAGAAAACTCAGAAAATTGTAGACTGAGAAAATGTAGTCTTACCATAGGAAACAATGAGGTGGTTATGCCACTGTTAAAACTCATTTTATCTTATTAAAGCAGGAGAGGGAGGAGTTACTAAAGTAAACAGGGAAAGCAAATATCCTACTGGTAGGGGAAGGGGGCTGTCATCATGGTTGTCTCCCTGCTCACCCTGTATGAGTGTAGACTGAGGACAGTGAAACTGATCTCTCATATTATGAAAATAATCTAGTTCCTAATAGCAAATCCAGAATCCTGGACATAACTTTTGTACAAATGAACAAGGGTAAGAATCAATCTGAGATTAATTAGAAAAATTATCTTACCCCATGTAGTCCTTTGTTTACAGTATGTTTGTGAAAAGGTGAGTTCCAACCATCTGTGGTTTCAGTCACCTTTTCCTGCGTTTTCTGCTGTTATTCCCAACCCTGCTCCTTTACCGTTCCCACTCTTGCCCTGACTGGATCATTTCTCTCTGAAGTTCTATCTGCATAATCATCAAACTTGCTATTTTTTTCTTCTAACTTTTTTATCTTTAAGTTTTATTCCCAGAGGCAAATATGATTATTCTGCTCTAAGATCATTTACTTTTGAGGTGCTTCAGTTTGAAAGCATTCCATTGTCAGGTCGTTCCCATATCTGATTATTCCAGTCCCCCACTGTTAAGCTTTCACACCACTTACAGT